GCTTCTTCCTCTTCTCCCTCTTTCCTGCTTCAGCATGCGGTCCCTCCCACAGGAGACAGTCCTCCATGGACTTTTCCAATGTTAGGCTTTTCCATGGGCTACAGTTTATGAAGTGCTTGAGCGTGGGTCCCCCATGGGGTTCAGTCCTTCAGGATCAGACTGCTCCAGTGTGGGCCACTCCCACAGGGTACAGTCCTTCAGGAACAAACTGCTCCCATGTGGGTCCCCTGCAGTGTCACAAGTCCTGCCAGCAAACCTGCTCCAGTATGGGATTCCCATGGGGTCACAGCTTCCTTCAGGCTTCCATCTGTTTCGGTGCTGGGTCCTCCACAGGCTGCTGGTGGATATCTGCTCCAACAGGGACCTCCATGGGCTGCAGTGCAACAGCCTGCCTCCCCATGGTCTTCATCACAGGCTGCAGGGCAATCTCTGCTTCAGTGCTTGGAGCACCTTCCCCACTGACCTTAGTACCTGCAGAATTGTTCCTCTCACATATTCTTAGTCCTGTCTCTGCTCCTGTTCCCACCCCCTAAGCAGGTTTTTTTCATCCATTTTAAATCAGCAGCCTGTTGGGCTTGACCTTAGCCAGCAGTGTGTCCATCTTGGAGCGAGCTGGCATTGGCTCTGTTGGACATGGGGGAAGCTTCAGGCAGCTTCTCACAGAAGCCACCACTGCAGCCCCCACAACTACTGAAATCTTGCCACACAAATCCAACACATATTCTTAAGTCACTAGCAGGTGTTCCTGAAAAATCAGTACATGATGATCTTATCAATGCCTTGAGAATGAAGCATTTATTTCATATTTGAAACAACGATTACGGGCTTCTACCATGGTTTGGTATAGATTTAGAAGTGAAACAGTTTCACCACGCAATATGCAGACTTAAGTTTTTATTAAGAACAGTAACTGTTAAAATTTGGCATATTTAGTTTATGGTACTATGTATAAACATAGGTTGAAGAACAGCTTGTACCAGTGGTATCAACATAGATCCTTCCTAGCACTGCAGAGTATCCATTTTTTTCTGGCTACCTAAGTGGTTTGGTTTATTGATTCAGTAGGTAGTTTCCTTTTCAGCAGCAACTGAGAAGACTGCAAGGCAATTCCAGTGCAGCAGAATGTGCCATTTTCGAAGCAGTGCATTGAAAGTAAGACTTGCATGGGCCACAGTATATTGTGTATGCTGAAACAAAAATGGGAATGGAAAGCACAGTTCTGGTGATACTAGTTTGTATGCAACATTATTGTCTTCATATTCCTTAGTTAAAATAATACTGAGGACTAACTCAGGCGGAATATTAAAGATGTTCTGCAAAAGGTGTGACTAACACGAACAAGTCTGCCGAAACAGGCCTGGACAGACCGAGAGAGAATGGAGATGTACCTTTTGAATCCAACTTTTTTGTAGGAGCCTAAAATACTCTTTTTTGTTTAGATCTTTTAATAACATCCAATAACAATCCAACTTTACAGATCCAACAGTCCTGGCTCTGCATGCTAGACCAGTGATGTAATTTTTGTTTATGGCTGGCAGTCGTCTTTTCCTCATTTTTTCTTTCAACTTTTTGTATTTTTCCCCCCTCTCCTTTGTGTTCTCTGGAAAGATCATAGAAGAGTCATTAGGCTCCTTTGTCAACAGTAAGACAAGAAAATAGTCCTAACAGCTGTCTGTGCCGAGCAGTTACTGTTGATAGAAAACAGGAAGACTACTTTCTGCTTTACGAAGTTCCTTGTTACGTTCTGTGTTTTCATTAGAAAATACTTTCTTCAGATGCTGAGACAGTGACTAAGCCCTGTGTTAAACAGCAGTTAAATTCTGGAAAAAGTTAATGAGAGTTAATCATAGAACCATAGATTCATAGAATATCCTGAACTGGGTGGGACCCAAAAGGATCATCGAGTCCAACTCCAGGCCCTGTACCGGACAGCCCTAGAATCACACCATGTGCCTGAGTACATTGTCCAAATAATTAACGAGTTCAGGATTTTTGGCTTGAGAATAAATGTGGTAAAACCCCAACCCACCTCCTTGCATTTGACAAGTAAACCTCTAGTTACCTTCTCTACATGCAACTGCATGGATCTCAATTAACAGATGGGTTATGTTTGGGCCTATGTGCTCTGCTGTTAAAAGAGTTGTTGACACAAACAGCCGAGAGTGTGTATGCAGTAATTTACAGTAACTGTTGACCTTCTAGTGCGTATCACTTTCAAAGTTACTAGAACTGAAATAGAGAAGGGCACCTAAGGACACAGTTGCTTTTGACCTCCATTGCCTTGAAGAAAAGGAAAAACCCAAATGCTACACTACATTTTTGGCAGAGCTATGAAGATGTGATTCCAAACAAATACTTAAGAGTTTGTGCTTGCCAGGGTGCTAACTTAAATGGTAGCTATTTATATTGCTGAGGCTAACTTTTGACTGTGGTTTCATCCTGAGTTACAATTCTGAAATACAGATGTATTTAAATCTTGCTTTGCAAAGGGGAAAAAAACCTCGCAGTGTGTGATAGGTACAGTTTGCTATCACTGAATTGCACAGTAATTTGTTCAGTTACCTACAAGGACGCTTTAGGCTCAACTTGAAGTAATCCTTTGGTAGATGAAGATAAAAACCATGGTTTATCTCAGTTTACATGCTTACTGTTATGACTTTTACCAATGAGGAATGTTTAGGTGTCAGGCACACAAAACTAGGAGTGTCATTGCCACTTCCCCCGTAAAGACCTGGGGGCTTTAAGTGTTTTAGCTAAGACAAATTAATACTCGTCACAGTAATTTCAGACACTGACTGCTTACTCACTACCCAGTATTATGTATCACTAGTCCTTTTTTCACCTAGCTCCATCTCATAATTTAGTTCTTTCCTTTCTGTTTGGCACACTGCAGTTTACAGTTAGACTGTAAAGTTGTATAAGGCTGCTGCTCAGGAGGTTTCTTATCCAATGTGCCATTGAGTCAAAGATTTACTTGCTAATTTTTGTAGTTAGTCAAGATGGGACTGGAAGGAACATGAAGTCACTCTGTTCGTTTTCTTTCTAGATAGATGCTGGTAATAACACCAACCTTTTGTTGCTTATGCATTTAATCCATAATAAATGCATCAATGTGTGTTTGCTTCTTAATGGGAATACAGATTTAAGAGCATTTCAGGTTGTTTTCAGACATAAGGTTGTTTTCCAAACACCAGGTGGCAGGTATGTCCAAAATATTCTCCAGCCTCAACAGCAGTTTAATTACTGGGATTTTGGCAGTGATATCTTTGGTTGATCTCACTTGCTTTGAGATTTGATCATCTGATTAGACAACTAGTATTTGTCTCTGTAGAGATGACCAAATAATCTCTTGTATGTTATGAAACTGTTCATAACAGCCTTGTCAGCAAATTGAATGTGCTGTGCCAGGGGGCACAAAAAATTGTGAATGTTTATTTACAATTTTTGTTCACTTGGCAAGGGAAGCAGGTTTCAAAATAGAAGTCTTTGTGGTTGTTTTTAAGGGTGGGGGTTTTTTTTGCTTTCTCAGGTTAAGATTGTGTGACAATACAAATGCACAAAACTCAGGTACTGTGCTGGACTGCATACTTTGCCTGCACTCAATTGCAGGACCAAAACAGCAGGATTTTCCAAAAGTAAAAAGTAATTACTTTTTAAAACTTAATGTTGATAGAGTTAGTAAGCTTATTTAACTACTTACTGCTTAATGAATACTATGAATGAAACTTTGGCTTCCAAGTGTGTTGAAACATCTAAGTTTCCTGAATACAGCAGGGAAGAACAGCTTAACTTAAGGGGAAGAAAAGAGAATTAGGATGGTAGAAGAAAATAGCAACAATGAGAAATTTCTGTTATAGATGGTATATTTAGTTGGGATTCATTTGACATTCATTTATATGATATATTTATACTATTTCCATTTTAAAATGTTCTAAGCTAGAACACGAAATCATGTAAGTTTCCAGTGAAACAGTCTTGCCTATGCAAGTAGCTAATACGCATCCAAAATTAAAATTTCCATTTCAATTTTCATAGGAAAAAACTCTTGAATGCCAGTGATTAGGCCAGAAAAAGAATTCATTAGCATTGCAATATGCAGTATTTGTCCTACTCACTCCCTAGCATAGGTAATAAATCAGTAAATGAAGTACCCACATTTTCATTGAAGAAGGGCCACTTTAATAATGTTTTCTGTTACATGACTTGTAAAGTTAAGACTTTACAGCATTCTTTTGCAAGTATTATGCTAAGGCTTTTGGAAGTCTGAAGATACCCTATGCATAAATTCAAGCAAACCACTTCTTCAGTTTGTCACCTAGCCATTGCTACTGCATGTCCTCTTGTTGACTTTGCAGCCAAATTATTTTCTTGTAGCATATTTTGTATGTTTGCCCAAAGATTTGCCCTTTGTAAGTTACATCACTCTGCTCATTTCTGTGCTACAGCTTCTTCTCCACTCAGCAAAGGAGAAATTACTGTAAGACAAAAAGCAATGTATAACTTGGTTTTGCTGCTGATGTTACTTCCAGAAC